AAAATAACTGGGGAAATTTAAGTAAAATGTTTTTAACTAAGTCCAAGTCAGCACCTTAGTTATGGAAGAACAGGATTTTTTCCAGCTTAAAGGGAACAAGTGAGTGAGTGGAGAGGCTCTTAGTTCATTTCCTCTCACTTCTCCTTTTTCATGGCTTGTCATAGATCTGTTCAGCAGTTGCATCGTGAAGATCTTGCAAAGCACTGGAACAGACAGTCAGCAGAGGGAAGGAACTGTCTCCCCCCCAGTTGCATGGAAATATCTTTGAAATATTCTGCACACCCAGATTATTGCTTATTGAAATGGCTTGGCAAACTCTTCTGCACTCATTTCCACATGCTGTAAGATGTTCTTCTGCACTTGCAGGTGCTCATTGCACACTTCTAGCTCTTCCAGGCTGCATGTGGTTAGCCGGATGCTTATCTTGCTTCTCCTCATGCACACAGCCTCCACTGTACCAAACAACTCTGCTCATACTTAATTTTTTTAGGGCAGTACAGCCAGTAAGTGAGGACTGCTGGGAAAGATATGTTCTGCCATAGAAATAAGGCTGCCTTTTCTTTTTGTAAGCTGATAGATGATTATTAATGTAACTAATTTTGATCACATGATAGCTTAATTTCTCCTCTGTAAGCAAAGACCAGGAGGAGCTGCAGGTTAATAGGATTTCTTTTATTGTGCAAATACAACAGTGTTTCAGGGCATGACACTAAGGGTGGTTGGGCCTTTTAGTGCCTGGGCAATTCTAGCTGCAGCTAGTTGTCATTACTCATCTGACAAGCAGAGGTGGGGAAGAGACAGACTTTTGTCTCTAGCTTTTTCTTACATCTGTTTGTCTTTTATGATAAATCTCTCCCAAAGTTAAATGTTTTGCACTCATTTCTTCTTAAATATCACCTGGCTATTGTACACAAAACCATCTTTACTTACTAGAGTTTGGTGCAAAATCAAGTGTACGGAGGAGTTTGTGTTTCCATCTGGTACAGTGAGAGTCCTTAACCTGACAGGATGCATGTCTGGTGCTGGAGGACCCAGGTGTAAGGCTGAAATCCACATCAACAGGAGGCTTCTGTCTTTGAACTTTAGATCTTTGCATTTCTGCAAGAAAGAGTGGAGGGTGGATGGGCACCTGTTCTTGTGGTTTTGTGCCACGACTTGTAAACATTCACATCCATGTGAATTGGAGATCTTTTCTTTGCTTGTGTATGTTGAAGTATAGCATGTGTGGGGCACAGTTCAGCATGCTCTTGCTGACCCAGCCTGAGTAGGGTGCAGGACTAGAGGATCCCTTCCAATCTAAAAAGTTCTGCAATTCATGTGCTGTGAATGAGGTCTAGTGGGATCTTTGACATAGAGATCCAAGTTTTTTGTTATCACAGTGTCACTGTTCAGAGTTTATGAGGCAAACAGGACTGTTCTGCCTAAGACAAAAGCACAGTTTTGACTAAGGTTGGATGGGGACTTTAGAAGGGAAGCTGGAGATTTGAACACTCTATTTAGTGAGACGCTGTTGAAGAGAGGAAAACGTAACTGTTGAAGCCTAGGAAGAGTCAATGGAGAGGATTTATCTCCAACTGGTGAATGCATTAGTATTTGACTTCCTGTATCTTTATAGTTTTGGAAATGATTGTTATCCGTGCAAATTTTCAGTCCTTTTTCCAATCTGAAATTAATATTTGCCTATGTAATATGTTACACATAAAGCTCTTTGCCATAAAATTTGAACATTTTGAAGTTAATGCTTGTCTTCTATGAGTGCTGGTTCTCTGCTAGGCTGGGAACAAGGAGGCTAGCATATCATATGCAGAAGGCTGGGAGACTTCATTTCCCAAAACTGTGACATAATTTGCAGAAGGATTTACTAATAAAAGGAGAGTTTAACAATACTAAACTGGAAAGCCCTGATAAATGACTAATGGGAGGGAAATGATCATGTCTATGGCTGAAGGATGGGAAGACCAAGCAGGACAATATTTGCATATACATAACCCACACAAAATTGTAGATGAGAGAATTTGTGAAAGTGATGTGACATGAGAAGGAAAGTGACTTTTGAGTTTCATTTTTTTTAGTCATGCATGACCTGCACAGTTGCTGAGTTTCAGGGCTTTTTTTACAGTTAATATTTTCACAATATACGTCGCAAGCTGATTTCAATGAATAATCTAGAGCAAGGGTTTAATAGCAGAAGAAATAAAAGTCTGGATGTCATGAGGAATGGGCTTCTGGTCTAATGTTCTTTCTAGACAAAAGATTAGTATTACAAAGAGTAGCACTTTATATTTTGTTATTAAGTTGTCCTTATAAGAGTGGATGCTTGCTTTTTGAAACACTGAGGATGATTAACATTATGGGAGCCCCTTTTTCCACGAACCTTTTGTATTGTTCTACCACTGTAATTTCTTTGGTATGTGCAGTAGGACCAAATCCACAAACTCAGTTTCTTCTTGATTGAAACAGGGTTTCTTCTCTTTCAAGTGCTCTGGACAAAACCTTTTGAGGACTGTTCAGGACAACTCAGAAGGGCAACATTGGGCTGCCTGTGCGACAAGGAGTGTAGCAGAGACTAATTATCCATGGTGAAACTAGGAGTCATCTAAATTGCACTTGTGCAGGAAGCAGGCTAGCTGCATTGCACTTGGATGGAGAGGGCTGGGCGTTTTGGAAATGCAGGACCAGCAAACACAAAGACCTTCAGAATGTCAATCGTTGATTCAAATCCAACTCCTGTTTTAATCATCTCAGGCCAGTGACATTGGACAGTGGCTCATTGACCTGTATGTGCTAAGTGTCACAGCCTCTCTTGGAAGCAGAACCGTGCCATGCATTGGCATTCTCACAGTATAAAGCTCAGAGCTGATGGGTTTCCCACACAGAGACCTTAAAGCTCATTGAAACTCCAGCGATGTCCAAATTTACTTATTTATTTATTTAGCTCTTGTTATTTATTTTTTAATGTGCAAATGAGTAACAAAGTAAGGTCAGTACCTCTCAGGTTAGAACTAGAGCCCTAGCTTTTGTTCCGATGACAAGGCCACTGTCTGTCTGTTCAGCAGCCAGCACAATGGTATCTCAGTGTCAGCTGCCCACCCCCAGGGCACAAACAGGGTATTATACCTGTTCTGGGGACAGCTAGAACTCTGTTAATTTGGCAGTGTTCCTCAGCACTGCCTTTATTAAATAACACGTATGTGTGAATGTATCCAAGAAAGTTGTAGTTGTGGTAGAAAAGCAACTCCCTGCGTTTACTTCAAGAATATTAGGAACACAGATAAATCTTGGCCACTTTCCCCATTTGTGATTTGACAACTGGAAAAGTAGCTTAAAAAGACAAGCAAGGTAGAAAGATATTTTATGGCTTCATAAAGGACCTTGTAAATATGGAAGGTTATAAGGTAGCTCTAAAAAAAAAAAAAAAAAAAAAAAAAAAAAAAAAAGAAAAAGTTGGCAGCAGACTTCTTCAGTGGTTTAAATTCTCTAGAGGATGGTGACAAAGTAGGTGAGTTGAACTAATATCTGTCAAATTTAGTATCAGTCAGTATTTCCCTGCTATTTCTCTGTGTCAGTTGTAGATGTCTTTCACTCAGAGGCACCTAATTAAATGTAGTTGCACTTTTGGGTGTCTGGGAGGCTGAAACACTCCAAGGACATTTCCCTGGGAACAGTGGCGGAGGGGAGATGAGTCCATATCAGTATAATGGTTGTTTGCTGCCTCGCCTTATATAAAAGTCAAGCACAGCTCATGAAACACCTTTCAAGTGGAAACATGGCATGTAATTTTTGAATTGAAACCCATTGTCACTGGATACTGTTGTGGCCAGAGACTCAGAGAAAGCTAAGAATGATGGGAATATTTGTTATTTGGGATAAAAAGGTGTAAGGGATAATAAAGCTCATGTTGTAGTGATGATGTTATTCCAGAACTCTCTCTTAATGTTTCTGTTGAAGTATTGTATCTTGTTTTGACTCCTTTCTTTTTGGCACTGCCAGAAACACATAGTAAGCTGTGTAGTTCCAAGGTTTGATCGGGTGTAATAAGTTCCAGGTATGCCCTGTGTAGCAGATCATAAGTTGGGAACTAGGGAGGTAGGGTTTCCTCTACATATAACCAACTCCTGCTGAGTTTCTGATATGACCTGCAAAAATTTGGATTCGGATCTCAGTCCTTCTCCGTAGGTTGCCACCAAGTTTGCTTAGTGTTAGGACACATGTAGTGTAAGTGGTATTTGGGTATGCAGTAAGTGGCTTGCTCGAGTCCATTGGCTGGCTCAATGCAAATATCTCTGAAAATTCCTGATAGGCAAAATACATGAGCTGTCATTACTCTTGGGGCAAATATTTAAGGGTGTCCACTTAAACTCTAAGTATTGGTGTTGGCAGGGAGAGTATAATGTTGTTTGTCACATTGCTGTAGAAGCCTGTTTCTTTTATTTCTTTTATATTCTTCAGAGTCACGCTGTAGGAAAGTGAGATGTCTGTTCTTTTGTGGCTTGTGTGTGTCTTCAAGGGGAAGTGTGGGTACATATATAAGATGGCTAAAGTTAACATGCCGCATCTACCTGTGGGTGCCTCGCGAGATGATAGTGCTGTTTACAGGATGCCTTTTTTTTTTTCCTCTTCCCCCCTACAGTGATGGGTTTTGAAGATTCAGTTGTCCACATGATGTGGATGTGGTAGGCCATGATGGTTATAAGCAGTGCATCTGGGGAACTAAGGACAGAGTAAATTCATTGTGCTTGGGAAAGAACTGGTGGTACAGTAAGGTGGAAATAATGGTAGGTTGTTTGTCTCTGTTGCTGCAAGTAAGAGGATGTGATGGGAGTTTGAGGTTGGGAGATGAGGATGTGTTAACAGGGAGGTGCTATGGTGGGGTGTGTGCGGTTAGATGGGGTGGATGCCTGCAGGATATGAGAAGGGGAGGGTGGGGGAAGTGGCTTGGGCAGCAACGAGGCAGTGCTCAGTATTCATGATGAAGACTTCTCTTTCTCCTTGCTCCCTAGATCTCCTACCCCCCAAGTGATGAGGACAGCGATGACTCTGAGGGAGAGAACCAGGAACTTGTTCAAATCGACAGAGGTAAAGGGACAAGATAGGAGGGTCCTGGAATACTACAGTTGAAGTGTGCTTTGATTTTCATATGTGCTCCTGCAAATGCCTCCTTCACAGTCCCCACTGTACCACAACCAGATTCATTAAATCGGGCACCTTGAAGTTTTTGGAACCTCACAGAGAGAAGCTGGTGATATCAGATGCTGTAGTCACGCTTTTCTTATCAATGACAAATAACTGTTAACCACATGTTAAGTTGGTAGTACTGTAGATGTGGGGTGGTCAATATCTCCTATCAGATCAGCAGCAGAGCTGGGAGTGAGAATGTATCTTCTGTTCCATACTTGTGCATCCATATTGTCTTTGTTCTAGGTTTTATCTTCCTTTTTGCTTCCAGTTTTGACCTTCCTTTCCCCATGATCCTGGACTCATTTGTCTAATTAGCTCCCTCCTGCACTGTTGGTATTGGGTAGCTCTGTTACTGAATCTAGCTAGGCATTTTGGAAAGGTGTTTAGGTGTTTTGCCATTGCTTTTGGATGTGATTTATTTTTTTTACCTGCAAGAAATACATCTGTTCAGCTGTAGTAAATCTCTGCCACTTATACACACGCTATGTTTTATCACAGTTTGACCCACTTAAGTGGATTTTTGTGCAAAGACAGGAGAACTCAAATTCCTGACCCATAGAGCATGTGCAGCCAAAATTGAAAGTTGTCCTCATGTACTTGCCTCCAGAACAGGTAAAATATGCTGAGCTTATGGCTGAAGGCAAGCCCTTCTATATGAAAAATTTTGGAATAGTAGGTGGACCTTTAGCTCCAGAAACCAAATCTGCTATTTGAGATACAGATGTGCTTCTTAGAATTAGAATATTCTTAGAATACCATAACTTATGTGTTTCCTCTGCTCTGAGAACTGTTCACTGGAACTTAATATTTCTAGCTAGAGATAAGAGCCTGACAGCGCACTTGTAAGACCATGTCCTCTCTGCCTTTTGAGGGTAAGGTGGGTAGCAGGTCCATGTTCTTGTTGTGTGACTGGACATCCAGCTAACAGTTTGTGAGCAGTATGGTCTAAAGAAAGATCTGGAAACTTCTGTGGGTAGCATTCAGCAGAGACATTTCTTCTGGGAAGAGAATGTGGAAAAACAGCTCAGAAGTTTTCTTGGGAGGAAGTAATGAAAATGGGTCAGTAGAAATGAGGCCCATTTCATGGCATGAGATGGAGATCTGGTCTGTCATTTCTCTCTCTCTCTTCCCACCAGAGAGAAGACGGAATTGTACCTTGACCCCTCTGGCCACCAACCAGCTACAGAATCAGGAGAACCAATGCTGCAAGGTCCGGGCTCTTCTCCATGCCAGCCTGGATCGCCACAGCTCGGAAGAGGAGCTGGAGCGCATCAACCGAGAGTTTGCCGCTGAGAAGCGGAAGTGGTCCCAGGTCAGCAGGCTTGCATGCTGCAGTGACAGCAACAACACCTCCTCCAGTGACGAAGAAGTGAAGAACTTGTGTGCCATGTCCTTCCAGCCTGTTGCAGAGCAGGCTGATGGTCTGCATGCAAGCCCAAGCCCTGTGCTGTTCAGTGCCTCCCCTCCCAAGAGACTCCAGCCTCTGGTGCGCAACCCAGCCTCTAGACCTTTAATCCTGACGAGTGTTGGGGCAGGCCTTGAGCAAGTCATGCCATGTAAGAGACATCGGCAAGGATATGGGGATAAGATCTGCAGGCCCAGCCTTGACCTGGAAAAAATGCAGCAGGTAAGGCACAGCTTCATACCACGAAAGTGGCATCACTTGAGAGGAGGTGTTGTAAGCTAAAGTTGAAGAGGATTATTGAGGCAGGGCTCAGTAAATTCAAGAAGTTGTTTCCTGTGGTTGTGCCTTCAGAGGCATAATTGGTTCTGTAGTTCTTCTGCAGTTTGTTTAGGATAAATTAGTCTTTTAAGAGGTAAAGTTGCTGCAACTTTGATGGCTTTTGCTACAGTTGTGCCTCTATCTTGATATTAGGAATTCAACACATAGTCTGGGTTATTGTATGGCTTAGGAACAAAATCACTGGAATTCGGTCAGGTTACTCCTGCTGCCGTGAACTGACTCATGCCTGTCCTATTTACTCTGATAGGAACTAATTGTTCAGGGGCGTATAAATGAGCATCTGTGCAGAGGAAGTAGGTGTAGATTTGAAGTTAGGTACTAAGCATCTGTGAGTTTCTTGACCTCCTTGGACTTGTCTTATTCTGCTTTTCTGCTTACAGCAATGTAAAACTATACTTTTTACATCCTTAATAGTTTACAAAAGCAAACTGCTTTAGCTGCACTTACTCTAGATTTTGCTCTAAGGGGGTGAGACTGAGCCTAGGGTCAACTGAGGAAGGGACATGTGGCATGCCTAGTATAGGATGCGAGTTGGCCTGCACAGTGCCTGTCTGTTGCTGCTCTTCAAAGAGGTGTTGCTACAGAGTTAGTATTGCAAACTGGTCTTCATTATTTGCACTGGTATAGTGTAAGTCTGAAGGAATATCTGCAGACATCTGCTGATCCTGGCAAATTGCAGTAATTTAAAGACAGTTATTTTGAATTCTGAATTTCCTCTCATTAGGGAAGAATTTTGCTGCCTCTGGTTGGCTGGATGTACTAGATCTGACCTCATGAAGAATGTTCCCATTAAGCCTATGAGATGGACCAGTTGGGAAGAAAAAAGAAAAAAAAAGGAATAACACAGAAATAACTATGTATTTTCCATTTCCCTAAACTAATTTTAAAATGATACATTTTGGGAGACTTTAGCTTAGGTGAGCCAACACAAAGGGAGATGTAGCCTGAATTTTGTAGGACTTTGATCAGTTGTATTTTTAGATTTTTAATTGGCTTATTTTCAACTGGTAAGCTCTTGAAGCTTTATGATTATTTCTTCCTTGATCCAGAAAGTCTCAATCACTGTGTGTCTTTGCTTGTCACCTGTACTAGTTTCTGCTATCAAAATCATGAGAGAAGTGGCGTAGATTCAGACTTTTGCTGACTTGTTTCTTAGGACAGTGATGTGAAATCTATTTTTGATTTTGAGTTCTGCTGCAGAACCCTTATATGAAGCTGGGCAAGTCTTGGTCAGTATTTCTATCCCCTAGCTGTCCAACAGGAGCTACAAATTTCTTTCTTCATCTGTCTTCATCCTCCAACAAAAATGCCACTTTTATTAAATGTCTGGGCATTTGGCATAATGTGCCTTTTTAGTTATCAAAACAGTGCAGATGAGCAAAGTTGGTGTAAACTGGCTATTCAAAGGCTCCACCTGGACTCTGTCCATCAAGCCACTCTTGCTTTGTGATTTGCTTCCTTACTATCTTATGTATTTATTTGCCAGAATGAAGCTGATGGACTTGATCAGATAGATACTTTTCTGAACAGCAGATGTTTCCCACACTTGTCGCTGAGCATTCGTGCAGCTCATGTATCTGGCAAAATTATTTAGTTCTAGAAGCAGATATGTTCAGAGACAGGAAGATATGTGCATGCTATAGTTGCTCAGGTGTGGGTGAAGAGATGGTGAGTGCTTTGTCTTTGCATCAAATCCTGTTTCTGTTGGATGGTGATAGAAGATTAGTCCAGAGAGTTGTGGTGTGGAGTGGCTCTGTGTTGGGATGCTTAAGCTGTTTTTAGGATTGAACAAACAAGGCAGTTTTTGCAGGAAAATGTGTCTTCCTGGGCTCCAGTGAATTTATGCCTTTTTATAAGGAAGGAGAACAAATTTAAGAGAGAAAAGTGGGCTGGGGGAAGTCTTGAGTGCATTTAAGGGATTAGGGTATTGCTGTGCTTCTACTTCCATGGCCTGTGGATAAAATGGAAATCTCCACCATCTGGACCTTTCAGTTCAGCCTTTCTCAGCAGGAGAGGCTGCATAAGAGCATGTTTAAAACGTCCCATTCTGGTTAGGTGCCAAGCCATGTCTTTCCAGCTTCACAGGACAGTGTGATTCTATCCTTTTGTGCCCCAGCCATCAGTTTGGACAGTTGCCGGAGTATTACCCACCCTGGTTGGTTAGCTACCCGCTTCATTTCTTCTCTATTGAGGCTAAGAAGGGGAATTCAATACACGCTTTTCTTCACTTCTCCAAAGGACTGGAAAATTACCTCAGAAGACTTCTTCTTTTCTTTCCCTTAATTGGGCTGAAATACCCTGGCTCGTGCAGACGCCTGTATTGCTGCAGTGAATGCCTTCTCCTAGCTGCCCCTTGATCACGGTTCTTAGATAGCAACCTCATTACGCGCAGGCCCTGCTGCCAACCACTTGCCATTTAATGAAGGCTGTGTGTGTCCCAGAAAGACTGGCACCCTGTTAACATGAGCAGATCTGGCTTTTGTGGCAGTGCTGATTCTCGAGGTCAGGCAGAGCATGGAGAGCTTTTGATGGTTTGAGGTAAAAGCAACAAGGACCACAAAGTTTGACAGACATATAAGGAGGTCCAGGGGATGAGACTGATTGTTCTCGACATGCTCTGTAAACAGAGAGGAAATAAATGATCCTTCCTCCTGTGCCATTTACTGGGGCTTGCTGGAGCTCTGTTGACTTTTCAAGATGGTGAAAGTAGATTTCACCACCAGCCTTTGCAGGGAGAGAGATCATAATCTGAGAGGAGCTTTGGATTGGCAAGATGAGTAAACAAACTGTTTTCGTTTATATGTGGGTAGGTGGTTGGTAGGGAAAGCATCATTTAAAAGTACAAAGCAGAATCTGCGTACTTAGGTAGTTTTAATCATTGGGTAGTTTTGAACAAGTGAAACATTTCTGCTATGGTTTACCTGTGTGTATGAGTAGATAATATCAAACTTTCATTGTCTTATGGAGGCCTAATGCATCATTTAGAATGCTTTGAGATTCTAGGATGAAAAGGGCTAGCACAAAAGAGAAAAATGCACCTGAAACTTGAATTTTTTGTTGCAGACACTGCACTATTTTGGTGAGTGAATAGTTTCAGTGCATGATGGGTGATGGAGGCTTTGTCTTGGCTTGGCACTGAAGTGACTTGGGGCAGCATTATCTCTGATCTGAACTTAGCTGTATGATCAAGCTCAGTGGTTCTTCTGATGAATACTTGAATGCTGGCATTTTGGTTGGACAGGCACTGGCAGGCTTTGAAAGCTTTCTTTTGGGCTGATATCAATTGCACAGGAGCTGCCGGAAAGTAAGCTATGGGCGTGCACCATAAAATGATGAAGGAGGATTCAGTGTGTGCACTCTGGTCCACTGGAGTCTGGGCTTTGTGCTGCTAATGGATCCAGGGTGAAATTTCCACATCCTTAACACAGCTGGGCTTTGCCCTTGCCTGCCTCTCCCAAACTTGACAAATAGCTTCCAGATAGAGAATGTGAGAGCTCACAAGTCCTTTTCACCTTTCATCCTCCCATTTGAATCCAGCCCTTGTCAGTTACTGAAAATTGTTATCATCTGTTGTCTTTTCTGAGCTTGCCTCTCACTCCTCAGGGATGCCAGAAAACCCACTCCTGCACTGGTCATATTTTCATCTCTCTCTGCCCTGGGCCTCGCTCCCCAGAGTGACTGAGTCATTGATCTGTGCTGAGCATAATGGTTTTCACCACTTCTTCACAGACCTAGTCCGGAATTGTCTGTTCCAGGTGTGAAAAGCTGAGCCATAGTAGTTCTTTGTCCCCTAGTACAGTTGTTTGCTTCTTGAAACAGTATAATAAGGAAACTCTTGTAGAAACCAGTTGCGCCATGATAGAATGAGAAATTCTGCTTCTGGTGACCTTCTGCTGTTTTGCTTTTATTTTTCACCTCCAAAAAATACTCTATGGCAGCTGTTCATCCCACACTGAAACCTCTGACCATCTCACCCCTGCCAGTATTTGGCCATGAAGCAGCCAATAAAACAAATGCTATGCATAGCTGCTGCAAGACAATCCTAGCATGGGAAAGTCAGGGGTTGAAAAAAAAAAATAGTAGACTGGTCATCTAGCAAGGATATAGTTCTGCTGCAGAAGGCTCTGGGATTCCAAACACGTACCGTGTGAGGCACGGTAGATATCTCATTTTTTTTCTCTTTTTGAAAGAAGTGAGGAGATGTTCTCTTCTGATTTGTTGTCTCTCAATGCCTTCCGTCTGATGTCTGGTTTGTGAATTCAGGAAATTGTAATCTGGTGATGAAGTATGGTATGGGGAGGAAGAGTGCCTTCTGAGAATGCCCAGGTCTGGGAAGTAGAGAGACTCAGTAACAAGGGAAGGCACGAGGAACCTCATGGTGTTCAGAGGAGGTGATTACAGTTCTGTCAGGCAGTAAATATCTTTATCTTTCTCTGCATCCCGAGTGTTTCCTGGATGGTTCTTACTCTCTAATCCATGCAAAAACTGTAGTGGAAGTGCCTGCATACATCAAGGCTGGATGAATCAGAGCAGAATAGAGTAGTAAGCCATGCAGAGTTTAGCTTACCTGCTTTCTAGGAAGGAGAATGTTTTCCTTTCCTTTCCTGAGGGAGCAAGTGATGTTGTTACTTTGCTGACAGTAAGGCTGAAGTTCACCTCCTGCCATGGTGCCTGCTTCTAAACATCAAGGACAAGGTGAGTAAGATAAATCATTCTACTCCTAAACTTTCAGCACAGATCAACGTGATAGAGGTTAAGCAATCTCACAGAATGGCTGAGATTGAAAGGAACCTCTGAAGATCATCTTGCCCAACTGTCCTGCACCAGCAGGGCCATCTAGAGCCAGTGGTCCAGGACCAGGTCCAGACAGCTTTTAAATATGTCCCAGGATGCAGACTGCACATCTGTGTATGGGTGCTTCTGCCTGGAAATCTTTATCTCTTTTTCCCTATATATCTATTCGTGTAACTTTGCCTTCTCTTGTGAGGAGATGTTAAGTGATACCGTTATTTGGACTGCTATAGAACCATGGTACCGTTGGTTGCATCCAAGCATGAGCCAATAGTGAGAACATCTGGTGGAACATCTGAAACCTGGTTCCTTAAAGTGCTGCTTTGGATCTTGAAAGACAAGACGGTTGGTGACTAGTTTGGTTAGGGTGATCTGGAGTATACCAGAGAGCTTGAATGAGTTAATGGAAGAACATACTGAAGGGAAGAGAGAGATCTGAGAGTTAGGAAGGGGAAGAGGAGGTTAGAAATCAGTGGAAACAACTAAGAATCTTTATTTTTTTAAATTTATTTTTGGTATTACGATTCCCAAAGGGACAATAATAGTACCTGGCACCAGTGGTAGTAAGTTATAATCCTGAGGTTAAAGCCAGTGGCTTATCATTTAGATTGGCAGGCTTGCTGGCTACCTTCCCAACTCAGCTGCCTTTCTTTTTTCTCTTAGCTCCAAAGCCTGGTAAGAAGGTATTAGGCTAGAGCTGCTTCTTTGGCTGCAGACCAGGGAGAGGAGATCAAATGGGCATATGGGCATCACTGGCATATGTCCTTGGGATTTGACTTAGGGAGATGTTCTGGGTGATGCTGGTGGTACTACGTGTGGTTTTATCTACTGGTGTGACTCTGAGGGGTAGGTAGTCCTGGAGGGAGCAAATGGGCCATCCCAGGGTATCTGGAAGAGGTGAACTAGTTGAGCAAGTGAAAGGCAGGCAGGGAAAGCATCTGTCTGTATGTGAATGAGCTTTTGACCTCTGTGTCGTTTTTTTATCTCTTGTCAGAGCACCACTGAAAGTAATACCTACTGTTACTAGCAGAAGGCAAAGCCCAGTGTCCTGTACCTACTGGCAGTGATTTATGGTGGGCTGCCAGCAGGCTGCAACAAAAATCATGCAGCAAAATCCAGAGACTGTAACTGCAGCAATGACACAGCTAGTCAAAATACGAAGTGGGGTGAATGGTTGATTGTCACAGCGTGGGCACTGGGTTGTGTACCCAAGGGTGACCACCTTTTTGACATATATCCATTCTGTCTCCTTTGTGTTGTCTGCTGGAGGCCCTTTTTGAAGAAGGTTTTGGAAGGATGTTTTGTTTCTCACTTTGACACGATACAGTGCAGGATACTGCTGGTGTGCTCCCTCTCTCTGAATTCAGCCCAAATAGCCTTAGGGGCCCAGCAGATTAAGAAGTTATGCTGCAATTTGTTTTTACTTTCCATCAAGACCACTTAATAGATGTTCCCTGTAAATGAAGGTCAAGGCCTTCTTTCTAGTGGTCTCTAGAACAGAGCAGGATTATCCTCACCTCCCTCCTCTTTGACATGTCTGGACTAGAAGGAGTGCCTGGGTTGGGTCCCAGTGTGGCTGTTTGTTAGCCAGATACCTCTCCCTTCCCACTCCTCCCTCAGCATGTGGCTCATTGTGATACAAATATCTCATCGTTGCCTGGGGAGAAAAGGAGTTAGCAGGCGGCTTTGCCATATGCTGTAACTGCCCATGTTGTATTCAGTCTGCAGATGAATGGATCTCTCTTCAGGCGTGATAAGTTGCATCTTTTGCTCACGGTAACAACCTCTGAAGAGGAGAAAGATTTACAGTTAACTTCTTCAGAGGAATGTTGAGGTGAATTTAAGAGGATTGGAAAGTGTAGAGTAAGTAGCTGTTGGGACCCACGGGTTTGTTCCTGTTGTAGCCGAGCATGGGATGCTGGTGTCAGTTTTCTGATCACTTTTTTTTTTGACTTAACTATATAGATGAGAACCTGGAATGAGTGGAAGAAAAAGGTTAGGCCTTCTCTTGTTCCTCCCCAGCTGCCACTAGTAGCATTGAATTCCCATCTTAAGCATTTACACAAGTGACCAGTCAGCACCCACGAGATAATGAGAGCAGCTACTGCTTAAAAATCACACTGTAAGAGCAAGTTATGAAAGTTATGGCAGCAAGAGATGGAGTGTAAGAGCTTTTTTCCCCTCTGCTCTCCCCTGGTGCTGTGTAGCCCTGCATCTCAAGTTAAGACACTTTCCTTGTCTAGCTGTTGTTACCAGTTGTGTTTGAGAGGTGACCCAGGTACCTGAGCAATCTGTGTCCTCCTAAGAAGAGAGGGCAAGAAGGATGGAGGGAGCTGTGGTTTGGAAACAGCAGAAACAGAGACGTCTTCTGATTGATTTATTAATGCCAGTGCTTCAGTTTTGCTACCACAGACTGAAAGTAGGCAGCTTGTCTTGGAACATGTTTGAGACTTGAAAACCACAGCAGCCATTACTGTTGAGCAGGCAGAAGCTGGCTGAGCTTTTAAAGCCAAGTCTGTGACTAGAGTAAACACTCTAGGAAATACTGTTTTTTGAGAAGAGCTTTGGTGCGGTGGAATAGTCAGCCTGGCTGTCATCAGTGCAGCTGTCCTTGGCGTGGGCTGGGGCTTAGCTCTGATTTTCTGCCTTAACTCTGAATAGCCTCTCCATTGTTGGCTCAAATGAGAATTGTGCTGCCGGGCTCTGCTTTTGCTGTCTTTAAGCTGGTTGATGTCAGTGAGAGTTTTGGGCATTGGTCCATGGCTCAACTCACAGAAGGAGGCACTCAACAGTGGCATCTACTTCTCATGTAAATTGAAAAAGCATTAAACCAGTGCAGATTCACCTCTAAAGCTTCCCGTTCTTCTCTAGACCTTTATTCCCAGGTACACACTTCTAGTGGAGCTGCAATTGATTATGATGAAATAATGATCAGTGAGTCAGAGACAAACACCTTGAGCCCCAACCAAAAATGTGTCGCTACATTTTTTCTAAATGCAAGATTTCAAAATCATAGGTGTGTCTTGGAGACCACAAGTAAATTAAAAATACATAAATGAAGATATTTCAAAGAAATCCTCTTAAGTTTGCTGGCTTTCCTCTTTGAAAATGTTATTTTTCAATCTCTTAGACATTGCTAGCTCATTTAAAGTACCTCTTCAGGTTCGATCAGAAATGAATTTGCAAAGCTCAAGATTCTGTAAAGTATTAGGAATTTAATGTAAATGATAAGGCTGTGAAAATTGAAAATTAATTTTTATTTTTACAAATATGCTTGTTTTAAAATCCTTTTGTTTTAAATATCCTTGTGAGGAATAATTCCACCTTTATGTGTTTGAGCATGGAAAACTATGTTGAGCAGTTATAGAAACGATTAAACCATGAATTATTTCACAGGTTACTTTGCTAGTGGTGTTGGTGTGCTCATTTTTGACAGCATAGGTGAATCTTTTGCCTACCTGTGGAGATTTTAGGAATTCCTTATGTTGAATATTGCTTCACAGACTCATCAGACACTCCTATGGGTTTTGGCATGGTGGCATGTGGGGATAATGGGATTAAGAAACAAGAAACAGTTTAACAAAACATTTTCCAAAATGCAAAGCTAAGGGGGTCTGTGTAGTTCTGTAATAGGTAGAGCTATCCTTAAACTAGAGTCAGATGCTTGATTTTTGTTGCTGCCATAAATCCATACTTGTTATATTACAGATGTTGTGGTTTGCAACACGGGAAACTACCACAGGTCAGGGAATGGCTGAGCCAAGTAATTTGCTCTTCAGGTGCAAATATTCCAATCACTCAAATAATCTCAAAACTATTCATATAAATGTGATATAAATTCTTGCTTTTATTATCAACTTTCTCTCCACAGAGGATCACAGCAAGCTAGCCTTGAGACATTCAGGTCTGCCTCTGTACTCTGTTCTTTCCTCTCTTAATGAGATTATCTGAACTTTTCCTGTTATCCAGTGTGGTGGGTGAAAGAGCCCTCATGGTCCTATGATATGACCATTCCATAAGCATGAGGACTGGAGGAAAAAAAAAGTCCTAAATGATGTGTGTGTTGAAATTGATGTCATGAACACTGGCATGCGTTATACCGGCTCTGGTACAGAGCTTACAGAATGTTAAGTTGAATATTTATTTCCAAGTATTTGGGAAGTGGATCTTGATGCAGATAGTGCAATTGCATATGTCAAGTCAGTAGTTCTCCAGCAATTTCCTATGGGTGCAACTCAAAGGGTTGCCATGCTCTGCTAACATCTGCTTATAAGTGTAGCAGCCTCCTCCTGGTTCTGAGCTAATACTTGACTGCTTTTTCATAGGAGACATTCAGAAGGTTGGCAAGAGTGATGTGTCTCCTGTGCTGGTGTTCACAGATCTGTGGAAGTACTGAAGCTCTTGAGCACTGAAGCGTGTGGGTAAAAGAACTGGTTGCATCACTTCTCATGTCAGAGAGGATTCTGTGTTGTGCCACATGCAGCCATGAGGGTGTGGACAGAGGGGATGCAGTGGGATATCAAAGTCCATGAGTGCTCATCACCAGCAATGAACGAAGCTACCTACTTAGAAGGATGGACAAAGAACCAGGCAAAGAATGTGGGCTCCAATGAAATCCTTGCAAGCTGCTCACATTGGTACAGGCCCAGGCCTGCTATATAAGAGTTGGTAGATCAAGCTCCATCACAAGCTTGGAGTTGTGTCCCAGAAATGGCACCCAAAGCCCCGTGTGCTGTTCAGTGCTGTGCTGCAAGGAAGGTGTGGGCTGGGACTGATGCACTGGGATGTGGTTCACATCATAGGCAGGCAGAATGTTCTGTAAGCACAGTGGTTAATTACACATTTTATAAATGGCTTAACTCCTTGGAGTAAGAGGCCTTTATCCTGCTAGCTAGCCAGCCATTTCAGGGTGTTTACTTGTCACTACTGTGTATGTGAGGCTCAACAGGGAGCAGGAGAACAGGGGGACAGGTAGATAAGGTTGGAAAACTTGAGAATGGTTGGGTTACTTCATCACTTCTTTCTGTAGAGACTAAGGTTCTACTACTGCAATTTCCAAGATGTTTACAAAGGAAAAAAAAGTCTATCTGGTCTGTTAATCATCTTCTGACCTGTGATTTCTAATATAGTACTTATGTAAAATTATGTTCACATGTCCTTGCAAACAAATGGGATCTCACAAATAAGCATAGTCATGAAGGAAGAAGATGCTGAAATAACTGTGCTGACATGACGTGCACGTGTTGGTCAGAATAGGAAGAAATGGGACTCTGTAACCTGTGTTCAGACTCTGTGGAGCCTGAACCAGCTCCATGGCTTGGGATGTATGCTTGTTTGTTTCTTTGAGGCAGGTTTGTTTTGACTTCTCAGAGCTATTTTTGCAGTCAGTCTGCATTTGGCTTGTTCAGAGCTTCTCTGCCGTCCACAAATTCAAGTTTTCATCTGAAGATATGACCTTGCGTATTTTCTGTTTAAGGTTGTCTCTGTGTGTGCTGTTGGCAGCACTGGCTTGAACCCAACGCAAGGGTTCCCAAGGAGTGGTATCCTTTGCTGTGCTCAGCTGGTGAGATGATGGGAGGTGATTCTAAATCACCTTTGGAATTTCCATTATAAAGAACAGGCTATGTGTGCCATCAGTGCCACTTGAGATAGTTTAGAGCAGTGAGTGTATCCTGTGTTGCTCTGCTTTGAGGAGCTCCACTAAGAGCAATCTTCTGTCTGAGAATTTATGGTGCTGATGTGTGTTTTGGGTTCTGCCCAGACAAACCCACTGATCTCCATTGGCCATCTTCTGGTGGGTTAGAGCTGAATACAGTATTTTTCTTACACCTCCGGAAAAGTGCCTTTGCCTTAAAGGGTATAGTTAGCCAGGTTTGGGAGCTGGTGAGCAGGCATTCAAAGTCATGTATCCTTGTAACCACAGATACCTGATATCACCATCTAAAACATTCAGGTTCGCTTTCAATTTGTGAAGGAATTGGCTTAAAAAGAGAGCCCCAAAGCAGTTGTGAGCTCGTTTTGTTTTGTTTTTTTGTTTGCTCTCCACGTGTACAACTCTGCTTTCATCTGCTGGGCAGAACCTGTGAGAGTGAGCACCCTTCTCAAAACCTGCTGCCCCAGATGTTCAGGCTGTTGGCTGGCTGGTGTGTGGGGGACCCTGTGACTGGCCTGTGAAACCACAGAACCTTTGGATGGAGGACACAGTCATGTTCTCAGTTAGCTGAGGGTGCTGGTAGAGCGTCAGGGACACCCTCTGGTGTGCCTGTGTCCCTTGGGGTTGGAATGGCCCTCTCTGAGTATTCTTCCTCTTTGTGTCTTTGCAATGTCACGTCTGACAAGTCTGTACCTTTCACTGATTTTTCTTGCATTTTATTTCTTTCCCAGGCTATACAGCTGTAGGATTTTTCAGAGCCCTCTCTGTGTCTTCCTGCTCACAGGAAACTGTTTACTCTATAGCCTGACTTGTGCTAATGTTTTAACCCCTTCTTGGTGCACTGGGGAGGCAGGATTTGAACAGTGAGCATCAGGAGGTGCTGAGGTTGCTTGTTTTGAGCTCCTAGTGCTGCTGCAGGAGGCAGACTGCCTTCTGCCCTCACTCTGCCTATGGCAAAACTCTGTGGGGAGGGAGGGCTTTGGAGTTGTGTCCAAGACAAGGCTCTGGTTAATGGTCACAAGTTGGAACTGCAAAAGTGAAACAAAGTACAGAGACATCAGATGATATGTTAGACGACTGGATGTTCCCCATGGACAGCTTTGAAGCCAAAGCTGGGAGTGAAGGGAGGAAACGGTCACGTTGGCAACCCTGAATTTAAATCCTGTGAGCTTTTTCTCAGGAGCTACTACAGCTGCCAGATGTGAAACCAAACCCTTCCTCCCCTCCTAAGCTCTAGTGAGGAGGAGCAGTGAACCCAGCGTTTAAGCTGTGGTAGCTTTGGTGTGTAGGGGTGAGTGATAGGAAATTAGTGAATCCTGCCCCTTCTTAATATTTTTGTTACTCCACAGGTGCTGGAGTTTTTGGTCAGGTCCATTTCCTGAACAAATGGAGTTCTGCATTTTTTTTTTTTTTTTCAGGCCTCAAAGAAAACTCAGCAAGGGATTTGGGATTGGCGAGGAGTGAATAGATGAACCATCTGATGTACCCTGCAGATCAGCAGACTCAGACTCTGCCAGACCAGCAGGGGAAGTGGCAGCTGAGCCAGAGATGCTCTGTATAGAGTGTTCCATTCCCCTATCCCAGTATCCCCTATCCATTCAAATCAAAGGGCTAGTGGTGGAAGTGCCAGGGCAAACCTGGCTTACAGATCCCTATTTAGGGAGTCAGGGCTTCCATATAGATCCAGAGCATATTTAGAAATCATATGCCACAAAGATGACCAAGGAACAGTAGAAAACCAGAGTCATCTACAGACAGGCAAGAAGTCTGTTTGTGTAGGCCATAATTGTGTAAGTAGGTTACAGTGTTTGCATTAGCTGTGGCTCTAGTGTGATATTCAGGGAGAGCTTCAAAGAGCAGATTGTAAGCAGAATAATGTTATCTGCTCCCTGGGCCTTGGGAGTGGTGGGAATTCAGTTGTTCTGCCAGGTGGCAGACCTTGCTGGCCAGGCTTTGACTCAGATCCTTCTGCAGCAGGCATTACCCTGAGCATTAGGTGCCACTCCATTGCAATCATTTGTGCATCTTTCCCAATTTAGATTTGACTGGTTTGCTCTTGTTTAGAGAGTGATCTGTCGTGGGAAGATGTACTGTACCTGCAGTTAAAACTGACTTGTGATTCAGGGCCATTTCATATTTGCTGTCAGTTCTCACCCATTGGTCTTAGTAGTGGCAGCCCAGTGCCTCCCAGTAACGCACCAAATAAAGTGACTAATGGCATCATGCTGTAGGGGATTTTGTGACCACTCTGTTTTTTTGAGGGTTTTTTTTTGTGTGATTTTCATGGTGTATGATCCTTGACAAGTCCCCCATAGTACACATTTTTGTGAGGTTTTTTTTTTTTTTTAGTTTGAATTTGTTCTTAGCAATCACTTGGTAATCAGCATTTTCTCTGTATAGAGGCACTAAGCAGTCAGTGTTTACACTAAAATAGAGGCATTGGGTTCATACTGTTTGCTGGCCAGGGGTGTTGCCTGAAAAACTGGGGCTCCTCCATCTGTTAGAAATGGGAGCTGTTTATAATGATGTTCACAGACCAAATGTGTTAATGTTTTGAAGGAGTTTCAGCTTGAAGATAAGTGTGGCAAAAAAAAATTAAAATGTTTTAGTGACTAATTCCATGGAATATGAAATAGAAACAACTTTCTAGAAAGTTCAGAGGCTTTTCAGGATATTCCAAAATATTACACAAAATTTACAGCCTTTGGATGCTGGAGTTTGTTTTTGTAGGAAGAGCCTGCTGGCCAAACCGCTTGGGTTGACTTGTATTTTAGAGTGCTCTGAGGCTGCTTAACTTCTGGTGGAGCAGTGTCCAGTTTCTGACAGATTTTAGTTATGATTTAAGGCTGTAGCTGAAATGGATCTTTCCTAATGCTGCCCAGCTGCAGGGATGGGGTGGGACCTTTGTGGTAGTCTTGCACGTGTGGGTACTGCCTTGGTACACGGCATCCCTGGTTGAAGGCTGCACAGGGGGTAATACGTATGCAGAGCAACCTCAGGTGACAGCTGGGAAGGCCTTGCCCCCTTGTTTCTCTGCTGATTAAAGTCACGTGTGCCCGGGAGTCTGAACACTCCAATTGCAAGATAGCTGAGTCGTGCACCTGGTGGTGCCTGCATGTCCCTGTGCTATACCCCTGACTCCAGGCTGCAGCCAGCTGGAGTTGCTTTCCTCTACAGCTATACAGCCAATGACCTACCCTTTTTTCTTGCAGCTCTTATACTGCAGAGTTAAGAGGTGATACTCATCCCATAGCAGCACTGCTCAGTGCCAAGGAATTTAAATAAAAAGCCTGACATCAGCCTCTAAAACAGCTTAAAAAGTCTTCTGCTTGCTGTCTTCCTAAGCTGATCAGAATGGAAGACCTGGCTTTGTATTTGAAGGCACCTGTTACCCTATAAGAGAAATGAAAGTAGCTGTATTTTGGTTCCCTTGCTACCTGGGCCAGTGGCTCAGCACCACTTACTTGGATGGGACATGCCTGCCCTTGTCAGTGGTGGGTTTGTGAAGAGGTGGCTGGAGCTGTTGTATAAAGGACACGTCAGAAGCTTCAGTCTTGCTGCTGGGCTCAGCGTGGGGCACGTGGGGTTTCATGCCTCACTTATAGGAACATTACTATTGGGAGTAGCCAGTCCCTTTCTTTTAATTCAGGAGCCTCTTGCCCCTGTGGCCCATTGGGCTGGCCGCTCTGTGCCATATGGTGGACGGGGGCGGGTGGCAGGCACTTTGCTCAGGATCTGAACACCCTCTGCCCACCACAGGTGCACCCCAGCCTTGCACCTTAAATTTCCTCGGGCATGGCAGGCAGAGTACAGCCAAAACTTGGCTTTGGGGCTGCTGGAGAGGAGGTTGAGCAGGCTCCCAACTCTTGCACACCTTCCCAGGAGAAAGGGCCATAAGATGCGCTACTCTGGCCACCTTGGTGCCTTCACCTGCTGTGGCACTGGGCTGAGCTCATGCAGTGTTGCTTCTGCACTGGTGTCTACTTCACCTCCTGTCACAAGAAGCATGCTGTTACCATTTCTGCCCTTCCCTTCTCAGGTCACAAGGCTGTTTTGTTGAGTTTCTGTTGGTTTTGGTCTTTCATGGACAAACCATTGCTGGGCATGGTTTCCTGTACTCCTTCTATCTCAGCCTTCTGCTCTGTCCTCAAGAGTGCAGTTTATGCGTGTTGTAATGTTTCCTGGGGCTTTGTAGTTTTTCCTGTTTCAGTTCTTTTTTCCAAACGAAGCCACATCATCTGTCTGTTTCTATATTTACGTTCTTTGTGATAGACACTCAAGCTTTGATTGCTTTGTTGTTCCTTCTGCTTAATGTTCTTCCAGAAGCCTGGTTTGAAGTTAAATTGTAGCAAACTTGCTAAACACAGTCTTATTTTGTTACTGCTTTGAAATCGTTTCAGTAAAGAAGTGAAAAGTCGGAACAAGGTGATTGCATATCAATATATGGAGTTTGAAGTGTGCTGATTTAATGTAAATTAAATGATGGGTTAACTTGCACTGAAAGTTTCTAAGCACTCTTCCACCAAATCAACTAAAACTGGTGTGGAAAAATAATATTTAAGCTGTATCCAACAGCTTACAGGCCCTTAGGTTTAAAGCTGCAACCAGGTAATGAAATATAATAATGAATGATAATAATTAAAAAAAAATAAATAGAATTAGGTAGGCAACAGAACTGTTGTCCTGTGAAGATAATAAAAATGAAACCATTATAAAAACAGAAATGTGCATATAAAAAGGAGGTGTGAGGTGAAAGGTGTTTACTAATATACAGGTTGACACTTTGCACTGTACACTGATTCCAGCAATTGACCAGGCTCCTAAATCTTTGAAAATTAAGCTCTGGTACCTGATTTTGAACTGTCTATAGCCAGCGTCATAAATATTTATTTTGAACCTCAGTAGCATGACATAAATTCCCCTTTCTTGAGGATTGCACTGTTCCTAGAAGGATCTTGCAGTAACGATATCTATACGCTTTGTTTGCTAATATATCTTACAGTCATTTGTGATGCTGCACTTTGTATAAGCAGTGACGTCTGTGCAGCACTTGCTGTCTGGCTTAGGTTTGTGACTGTTCAAACTGATGTTAGAGGGCTCCAGTTAGGCACTGCTGCCTAACTGGAGATTTTTCCTGAAATGAGGCTGAATGAGAGCGCTGTGCTCTTCGTGGGGCAGGGGTGGTGGTTCGTCTCTGGTGTCAGTGTGGTATTTTGATGTGGCGGTGACATGCCACGAAGCTGTGCGTACCAGTTCAAGGGCTCATTACAGTGTGTTATTCTGTAAATACATAACCCTCAAAGTGATCGTTTCCAATTCCTGCAGCTTCATTTTAGATCCAGATCCAAGAGGGAGGGAGTTGCTGGGTTATGAGCAGAGAGCATTTGTGTAACAGGAGGTGGAATGGGTGGGAGGGTTCTTAGCCTGGACTGATTCTGCTGTTTTCTGGGACTTTAACCCTAATATGTTCCAATTCAAATGTGTTTTTAGAGTGAAGCGTTAACTCCTATGCCTTCAAAAAAAAAAAAAAAAAACTTTCCACATTTCCTTAGCCATGTCATTTCCTTCTTTTAAGCAGAAACAACGGCAGATCATAAAACAAACTTTCCACCATGTGAGTAATAGTGCTCCCAGGTTGTAGGTTTCAGCTCTGATGCCAACGCTTCTGTCTGAGACCAGCAGGAGGGACTTTAATTGAAGTAAAGAGGCTGAGCCTCTCTTCTTTCTTCCATTTCTTTTATTGCAGGTGGAACAAAGAATCTCAGAAACCAAACCCTACAATTTATTCTCAGCTCTGCTACTAATATTCTCCATGACCTTCAGCAAATCTCTGCTCTTCTCCTTGTCATAGCTCTTGAAAAGTGAGGAAACAAAACTGCTCTTCGAGATTGGCCTGGGAGTTAGGAATAATCCCAGGGTTACTAAGCTGATTAATAAAGTGAATGTGTCACCTTTTTTATGGGCTGTTCTCCCTGGCTGTAGGCTACTGCAAGTCATGTAGCCAAATAAATGTTATTTCAGCTCTGCCTGTATCTATGTAAATAGGAGTTAATGAGTTGCTTTGTCTCATGGCCAGCTCCAAAGGGAGGATGAGGAGAGGCTGCTGTGGAAAGTCCCCAGATGTTGCTAGGCACTATAGCTTTGCAGCTTCCTTCTCCAAAACTCTGCTCAGGTTTGGCAAGGGGAGGGAAAACCAACTGATGGAAAGCCCTACAAAAATGCATTGCTTACATTTTGTAAAGCATGACTTTACTGTGCTGGGCACAGAGAGTGTGTGGCTGCAAGTGAGGTGGAAGCAATTTGGTTAGATAGAAAAATATTCAGTAACTGGCCTTCTGTTTATTCATTCTCAGCTGCAGGATCACGTGGCTTGCTTGTTCTCTTTCCCTTCTGTTCCTCCTCCTGGTGTTTATTTTTTTGTTGTTGTTTTTGTTTTGTTTTTTGTTTTTTGTTTTTTGCTTCTGACTGACTCTCTTGGACTCTTGCAGTGAAGCTGGAGGAGTGCAGCATCAGTGGTCTTGCCATGCTTCCAATTTAAGTAGTAACAGGAAAACCCAATTATTCCAGAGGGTTTCTTCTGCTGAGGTTTGTGCTCCACATTTACAAACTGCAGATGAGGGGGTGTCATATTTGGATTTTAGTATCAAGTCTATCAAATAGTACAGTGGAGATTACAACTAACACAAACTGTTTTGTAGAGCATCTTGCTCTTACTACAAAATGCAACATCCTTGAACCGTAGCAAATAGCGTTAAGATCCTTTTACCATTAAGGCTTGGCATGACAGCATCAGTGAAAAGAGCACCTCTGTTTCCTGCCAGAAGTGTAGGACTTCAGATACAGCTGAGCACTTGAATTCCTCCTAGTAAAGTCTGGCTGGTTGTCATCCACCCACAGCTTGTTCAGACTTTTCAGTCAGTCTTTGTCATCTCTTCTAAAAGGTGTAATTACTATCTCTGTTGTTCCTCTCTAGTTGTCCTAATATGAGGCCAGGATGAATATATTTAAGGTTTTGTTGCCTCTGCTAATGTGTAGTTGGGAAAATAGTGAGTTTTGTGGCACCCTCATGGAGTCATAAGGGGACCAGAGTATGGGACCTTGCTAGATATTGGGTTAGGCTGGAAAGTATTGTGCTTTTCCCCTTTCAGCAGAGGATCCCATGGTGCTTCTGAGGCACTGCAGAATGCAGTGTCACTGCCTTGCTCCTCCATCCTTGGGGATTCACCCAAGTACTATGAAGCTGAGCTTTACAGTTGTCTGAAGAAGCAGAGAGTCTACACAACCACACAGGTTTTCCAACTTGTAGTTAAATGGGTATGGCATGATATGTCCTGCTGTAACAGTGTTCCTCCCTCAAATAGTAGGGATTGGCAGCATGAGTTCCAATTCTCACTTTCATTACCTGACTCCACTTTCTCTTGCACATTTTATCCCACCAATGGGCTTGTGGCTTTTGTTATCTAGCCTACCTGGTTTGTGCAGAGACATGTTGAGTCCTTTCTGGTTAGAAAATCTGGGTCTGTGCTGACATGGCAGCCTATGCTTCCAAGTCAGACTGAGAGGCAGAGGTATTGGGTGTGGCCACAAATGAGCCCTCTGATGATTAACAGAAGTAAGATTGGGATTTATCTGCAAAAGCGTTAAAAGAAAAATTGCAGAAATCATTGCAGCACTTACCTTTGCTCCTGTGGATGTTTGTACTTTCCTCAGACCCCAAAGTACACATGCACAGGCTTCAAGATATGTTGCAGAGTCCTTCTCTTTGCCAGACATACGGGTGTGCACTGTGTGCTGAGGGTTGGATTTTGGATCTGAGTGTGGTGTGTAGAAATGTGGATTTCCAGCCCCCTTTCCAGCTTAGGGAAGGGTGTGTAGATTAGCTCTGCAAAGATATATTTGTGGAGCATAGAATGGCAGAAGCTGTTGGAGGAGTGGGATTTCTACTGCACAAGTACCTTCTATGGAAAAAAGTGTTTGTTCTTCTTGGCACTGTTGTTGGGTTTTTTGGTTTTTTTTTTTCTGAATTTGGAGGTGGGAGTGCATATATGTGTGTTTTGTTGTGTGTTTGTTGTGTTTTTTTAAGCTTTTTCAAGTTTCTAGTCCTTTACTGTGTTGCTTTTTTTCCTTTTAACTGGAAAAAGAAGGAAGACTTGAAGCAAAAGGAGCAAGGAAGCAGTAAGGACTTACTATTTACTGTCTGTTAGTAGAATGGAGGGATGTTTTTCCACAAGTTTTCTGTCCTATTAATACAATTAGAGAAACACTTCAGATGCTTTGTTAAAGTGTGTTTGTGGGAGGGAAGTGTTTTTCCACACATCACATAGCTTTCCAACTGGAAAGGTAGAAAACAGGAGCTAGAAAAATATTTCTTTCAAAAGCTGACAGAGCATCTCTTGCCTGATGTATCCCCATCAATAAGATTTTAACTATGAACAGTGTAGTTGAAGTACTTTTAATGGAGAAAGTGGTTTCAAACCTTATTTTTCCACTTTGAGGGTTTTGTTTTGCTTGTTTGTTTGTTTTTGAAGGGAAATAATGATTTTGTTCACTTGCCAGCTTTGAAAGTGCTGCCTCAGAACTGGGATAGAATTGCATCTCACCTGTTTATTTCTGAAATTACACAGAGTAATTACTGTTTTAGGTATATCCTGTTTGCTAAGTCGTGCGGTTCATGTTATGACAGCTTTAATGGTTCTTCATTGTATAGCGAAGGGATTTAGGACTGTGGGCAGGTACTCTTGCTTCATTTTATAATTCTAAATAAGTAAACAGTGCAAATAGCTGTTAAATAATGGGAACATCCACATATACATTAAAAAGATTATTTTTTTCTTCATAAAAGGAAGACGAATTCACCTGCTTCAGGGCAGAGTCTAACCACTAATTGGCAGAAGTTAGGAAGAAACTTCCTTTTAAGCAGTTGTTTCATTTCTTTCTCTGTGGCATTCTTACTACTTTCTTTTGAAACCTGGCGTATTGGCCAGTACGGGAGCACTGTCTAGGCTGTGCAAAAGAATCTCAGGCTAGGCTGATTCCTTGATGGCCACTTCTGATGATATGTATGTTCTTGTCTTTCATATCTCACTTAAACCATCCATCCATCCATCTATCCATCTTGTTTGGTAATTAGGCATTAATAAAGAGAGACTTCCTACAACCTCTATCTTTCTCTCTGTTCCCTCATGCTTCTGCTACTAATCCCTGGATTCTACTTCTCTTTCAGAAGATGCTGCTGAAGAAGAATTGTGGAATGAAGACTAGAGTTATTAAAATTCGTGTAAGTTGCTCTTTTGTGGTGCACTTCATCTTTCCACATATTTCTGAATGTGGTGATAGTCCTTGAAAACCTGTGCCAAGAAAATTATCTCTGGAGGTTTCTTTAGCTTGATCAGCTGTATAACAAAAGTTATGAATCTGGAGGATAAATGGTAGTTGCAGATTTAAATTGGGTTCTAATGAAGCTAACAATATTTTCCATTTTGGAGACCATGGGTTCCTGCTTTATTGGAGAGGAAGTCTACATCTCATGCTATGAGTACAGGACAGCTATACATAACTGTATGAAGAGTGTCATTTGGATCCTTCTTGAGCAGAAATGTTGATCCAGGTTATCCAGTGATGCTTGACATGGATGAGAGGTATTAGTAGGTAGTCCAGACAAGGACTATAGCTATATGCTGCACTGATCTCAGCAGAACTGTAAGGGATGTGGAATGGGTGATTTCCAGATGACAGTGCTAGTCTAGATTGCTTGGATGGCTTTACAGATGGAATGACACTGCAGTGTTTGAGCATCTCCTATTCTTGAGTGCACACAAACGTAGCAGATCTAGGTTTCTTCCATGTCATGCTGTTTGCACCTCTTAGGCTTTGTCCTTAGTACACTATCCCTTGACTCTTTAGCCAGCCTGTCTCCTCTGTGGGTACTTTGGCTTTTTTTCAGTCAGTGCTGTGTGGCACTGCAGGGAGATGTGTGGTCTTGTACACTGCAGCCAAAACAAGTGGTTAAGTCTACAGAACCCCACATGATCCTTCTTATTTTTGCAATACATGAGCAAAACCAGCCTGGAATTTTGCAGTGAAACTACTACATAGTAATTATAACCAGCAAGGATACCTTGCAGGAGGGATGAATAGCAGGACTGTCCAGGGACTGATGCTTTTGTGTACCCAGAATTGCTACTGTTTGCATGCAGTTGGGTGCCCTTGCCCATCACCACTTTGTGGGTGACTTTGTTTTTGAGAGGAGGAGCAAGTAGGACTGGCTTAGAGCCTTGTATGCAGCTGTGTGGTGTTTCTCTCACCCTTCATATGCATTCAGCTATAGCACTTCAGTCCTGTCTTCCAGCTCCACCATGACCTGATGCTTCTGATGCACGATTAATCCCAATCTGCTTTGTATTCTCTTGTGCAGCTGCCTGAATTGTTTTCACTTGAGCTGTTTCCTCCTGTGCCCTCTGAGCATTCTGATTCTGAGCATCAGGTTGTACCTGACCTATGCTAAGACAGCTGCTGTGTTCTTCTCAAATGCATTTACCACCTTCCTTTTAGTCTTGTCCCTCATACTTTACTTTTTCTTTCTTTTTTTTTTTTCCGTGGGTGTCACTAGACTACAGTTAACTTTCGTACTGCTATTGCTAGTAGCCCTGCAGCCCCTGGGGTTTCAAGGGCACCTCAGAGCTGTTTCCCCCAGCACCATGAGCTCGTTATTGCAGTTTTCTGTGTGCCTCTGGAGAATCTGAGAGACAGAATCATCCCTCCGCTCCCTGCTGAGCTCATGTCAGCTCACGCTAAAATAAACAACAGAAATGGAGAGCACACCTTTCTGACAGATGGCACAGCATCCATGTTCTCTGGCCAGCCTTGCTGAGCTGGTACAGTGTGTCGCTACCTGAATTGTTCGTGCGGTTTCCATGACAATAGCAAATGATACTTCAGTCTCCAGTTGATCTGTTGCGGTAGCAGAGGTGCTGGGTAGATGAGCATTTTTGCTCCTGTTTTTCTAGCAATTGCAAGTGCTCACTTCTGTGTACGCAGCTTAGGGAGGAGGCAGCAGGCCCCCAGCCAAATGTCTTGCTGAGGTGCCTCTGCTCTGGAAGCAGCTGAAAGAGGTCCATACCTCTGAAGGATGTTGCTGTGCTTGCCACACAAAGGGAAACCTCAATCCAGTGAGATATGCTTGGCACAAAGTTCCTTCTCAGTGGTGCCCAGGGAAAGGTCAAGAGATAATGGGCACTAACTAAAACACAGGAAATTCAGGTTGCCCGGAGAGCTTGTGGAGTCTCTTGAAGATACTCAAAACATGCCTGGACACAGCCTTGGGTAACACGTCGTAACTATCCGCTCTCAGAATGTGGGCTTTGAACTAGATGCCTATTCCACAGGCAACTGCCAGCCTCATTCTGTGATTTTTGGCTTTTTCCCTAGCACTCAGTAACTTAAGGCACACCAGAGACCTTAATACACTTGGGAGGGTTTTTCCGAGGCCCTGCTAAGTACAGCTTTTTGCAAAGGCTGACAGCAGAAGGCCAGGTTATAGCCTGGTTCTCTATTGCTCTGCTAACAGAGATTTGGTGTTGTGACTCTGCTACTGTAGTGGGGGTTGAAGAAATTGAGAGAGATCTTCTCACAAATGGGTTGTTGAGCTATTACAGGAGGAATCTGACAACTGTCTGCATGTCTGATTGGGAAATATCATCACGTGAACCAGTTTGTTGCTTGTGCTGCTGTAGCCCTGGGAAGTCCTGGTGTACAATGCTCCTGTTTCAGCACAGATAAAGAGTATGCAGTGATCTTAGGTAGGCAGCCACATCCAGACAGTAGAAATGGATAGAGATGCAGTGAATGAACTGATCTGAGGAACAGGCCAGCAGAGAAGCAGTGCTGCCTCATAATTTTTATTTTTTATTTTTATTTATTTATTTATTTATTTTTGAAAGGATTTGAATCAGAGATCTGTTTTCTTGCTATATTCTGCTGCTTTCTGCATGTCTTATTGTCACCATAACCCTCACGCTGCAGGGAAAAGTGACCAACTAGATAGTAGACATGCTTAGCACTGTGATGTCAGTGAAACATTTTCATGCTATTTTTGCTGAAGACAGTGTCTCATGTGGTTGTAAGATAACGTGCTCTTAAAAATACACTCTTCCTGGCTGATATTTTTATTATCTTGATGTCTCAGGGCTTTGCTGATATGTCAGGACACAAAGCGATGTACTCTCATGCATCATCTCATCTATGCTGTTCCTCCTTCTTCTGGAAGAGCCTCGCTGAGGAGGGTTAGATAGAGAGACACTGCCTTTGCCATCTGGTACCAGTACATTTTCAGTTCTTGGAAATGTTTGTACTCCTTGGGAGCCCTTCTGGAGCAGGTGACCCAGGCTGGCTTCTGCTTTTCTGCATGCTGTTCGAATGCTAAGATGCCACCTCGTCCTTATTTCTTGTACCTCAGTTTCCAGCCTTTCCACTGTCTGAGCAGTTCTTCTTAAGTGTCGTGATGGAACAGAGATATGACAAGCCCAAGAACCTAGACTAAGCAGCAGCTTTGTCATGTTTGAAACGTTTTGGGTAATAACTGTGGGAGGTCAGGGCCTGTAGTATGGAGAAAATACTAATTAAATTTCCCTTCTCTCCCTCTGCCCATCCGCCCTAAGCAAGGGATAATGGAACAGGAGACTCAGGCCCTATGGGCAGGCAAGTGGGGATAAATTGGAGGTGACAGTGTGTGTGTTAAGTATGGATTTGTATGGATGTATGTGTAACATAGCATGCTTCAGTGCAAAGTGAGGGGTAGACATGGACACACAGAGGTGTTGCATAGTGAAGCAGACGTCTGTACGCAGATTTGATTGCTCATATCTCAGTGTGTCAGCCAGTGTCTTGCCTGTAAGTGGAAGCAAGGTGTTAGGTATGAGTGAGAGGAGCTCATGTGGTGTGTATATTTTAACAAGTAGAGCACATGTGCATTGTTGAGTGTTACGTGGAGGCAAGTCCTTAGTTTTGGAAGGAGGATGACTGTATGAGCATGTGTTTGTAGGACTTAA